CTGTGATTTCTCAGTGGGCTGCGGAGGATAGGAAGCTCCATCCCTGTGCCTTTTTCTCACGTCGGTTGTCCCCCTCTGAGTGCAATTACGACATAGGGAACCGTGAGCTGCTGGCTGTGAAGCTTGCCTTGGAGGAGTGGCGTCACTGGCTGGAGGGGTCCACCATTCCATTTCTCGTTTGGACCGATCATAAGAACTTGGAGTACATCCGCACGGCCAAACGGTTGAACTCCAGGCAGTCCCGCTGGGCCCTGTTCTTCACCAGGTTTAATTTCACTCTGTCATACCGGCCTGGATCACGCAACACCAAGCCAGACGCCCTCTCCCGTCAATTCCAGAAGGATGACACCCCCTCCAAGGACCCTGTGTCGATTCTGCCAAGTCCCTGCATCGTTGCAGCTCTGACCTGGGCTGTTGAGGAACAGGTGCTGGAGGCTCTCCGTAACCAGCCAGGTCCCAGCACTTGCCCAGCTGACCGCCTTTTTGTCCCCGAAGACCTGAGGTCCCAGGTCGTTCAGTGGGGACATGACTCCCGCCTAGCTTGTCACCCTGGCTCCACCCGCACTTACAACCTGCTCGCCCAGAGGTTCTGGTGGCCCTCTCTGAGAAAGGATGTACGGGAATTCGTCCAAGCCTGCCCCATCTGCAACCAACACAAGTCGTCCTGCCAGCCCCCAGCCGGATTGCTGCAGCCCCTGCCTGTGCCCAGACGTCCCTGGTCTCACATCGCCCTTGACTTTGTCACGGGGCTGCCCCCTTCAAGTGGCATGACCGTCATTCTCACCATAGTTGACCGTTTCAGCAAGATGGCACACTTCATTCCCCTCCCCAAGCTCCCAACCGCCAAGGAGACCGCCCAGGTGGTCCTGGAACACGTCTTCCGGATCCACGGACTGCCAAAGGATGTAGTTTCTGACCGTGGTCCACAATTCTCCTCCGCTTTTTGGAAGGAGTTCTGTCACCTGCTGGGAGCCACAGTCAGTCTGACTTCCGGATTCCATCCCCAATCCAATGGGCAGTCAGAGCGGGCTAATCAGGAGCTCGAGAAGGCACTGCGATGCATGACTTCACGCAACCCCCACTCCTGGTCGCAGCAATTGACATGGGTGGAGTACGCACACAATTCTCTGACCTGCTCTGCCATCGGTATGTCCCCTTTCCAATGTGTTTATGGATACCAGCCTCCTCTATTTGCCAGCCAGGAAGAGGAGGTTACTTGCCCATCTGCACTTGCTTTTGCCCGTCGATGTCGCCGCACCTGGTCACAAGCCCGAGCCACACTCCTCAGATCCGTTGCCAGCTACACTACCGGGGCCAACCGTCGGAGAATTCCTGCTCCCACCTACCATGTTGGTCAAAGGGTGTGGTTGTCATCGAAGAACCTGCCACTCAGGGTGGAGTCGCAGAAGCTGGCACCTCGGTTCATTGGCCCATTCCCTATCATAAGAGTGATTAGCCCAACTGCTGTCCGGCTCCAACTGCCTAATTCCCTGAGGGTGCACCCCACTTTCCATGTGTCTAAGATTAAGCCCATCCATGAGAGTCCGCTGGTCCCTGCTGCGCCTTGTCCTCCTCCTCCACGGCTCGTCGATGGTGGTCTGGTTTACACCGTCCGCCGCCTGCTTCGGTCCAGACGGAGGGGTAGGGGTCTCCAGTACCTCATTGACTGGGAGGGCTATGGACCTGAGGAAAGGACCTGGGTGCCAGCTAGTCGGATTGTGGATAGGACTCTCATCACCGCTTTCCACCAACGGCATCCTGATCAACCTGCAATCCGTAGGGGCCGCCCCAGAGGGGTCCCTAACCGTCCTGCCCGCTCGGCTTCCTGTCCTGTGCCTGATCCTGTCTCGGGACCTGTCCCATCTCCCGACCACGGCCCTCCGGCTTCCTCCGAGGATGAGGACGTTCACTCGGACCGTTCGGAGGAGTTCTAGCCCTCCTCCGGCTCCCCTCCTCCCGCCCGGCGTGGTGTTGCTCTTGGGACTTCTGGGGCCGTCCCTTGGGGGGGGGGTTCTGTCATGAGCCTCTCACTCCACCGGGTTACCACCTTAATTTTCTTCCACTCTGCTCACCACTCTCTCTACTCAGCCTAACTAGCTCCACCTGTCCCTGCTCTGCTCTGCTCTAATTACTCTGCCAGCTGCGCTGCATTACCCACTACCTCTCCCAGTATTTAAGGCCCTGTCTTTCAGCTCTCCGGTGTCAGATCGTCTGCAAAGCTCACACCCGGAACCTGTTTGCTCGCGCTTCTGGCTCACCCTGGTTTTGTGACCCCGGACCTGCCTGATTTTTGGATACTCTTCTGCCCCAGGAGATCCAGAACTGCTTCTGCCATAACGACTCCTGACTACTCTTCTATCCCGGTAACTCTGACCAGCCTTCTGCCTTGCTACTACGTATTTTGGATTTCCCGTGAACTGTACTGCTGCCTTGTTTCATTCCGCCCGGTTGTGTCTGTGTCTCCCCCCCCCAGGACTTCTGGACCACCCACCACCGGCTTCATAGGACGCATCGCTGCCACTGGGGGGGGCACAGACCCAGCACATTGGACGGGATCCCTGTTTCCCCTGGAGCCTTCATTCACTCCCTACTTCCCTTTTCCCTTAAGTTTTAATAAACTTTCTGGTGTGACGCAATTGTGGTCCTCTGGTCGTCTGTCTGAACCGTGACACCCAGACTGAATCAGGTTTTCCTCTAGGATTTTGCTTTTAATTTCTATCCTGAAAAACTCCCCAGTCCTTAACGATTACAAGTATACCCATAACATGGATAAGAGCGTCTGCTAAATGACTAAAATGTAAATGTAAATGATGAAGCCACCACTATGCTTGAAAATAATGGAGAGTGGTACTCAGTAATGTGTTGTATTGGCTTTGCCTTTATCTGTGTAGTGAATGGGTGTATTGATACACCATCCAAAGGGTAATTAATAACTTCATCAGTCTCAAAGGGGTATTCAATGTCAGCTTCTTTTTTTTTTACCCATCTACCAATAGGTGCCCTTCTTTGCGAGGCATTGGAAAACCTCTCTGGTCTTTGTGGTTGAATCTGTGTTTGAAATTCACTGCACGACTGAGGGACCTTACAGATTGTATGTGTGGGGTACAGAAAGTCATTCAAAAATCATGTTAAACACTATTATTGCACACTCAGTCCATGCAACTTATTATTTGACTTGTTAAGCACATTTTTACTACTGAACTTATTTAGACTTGCTATAACAAAGGGGTTGAATACTCATTGACTCAAGACAATTTAGCTTTTCATTTTTAATTAATTTGTAAACATTCCAAAAAACATAATTCCACTTTGACATTACGGGGTATTGTGTGTAGGCCAGTGACAAAAAATCTCAATTTAATACATTTTAAATTCAGGCTGTAACACAACAAAATGTGGAAAAAGTTAAGGGGTGTGAATAATTTCTGAAGGCACTGTAGCTAGCTCTTAGCTTTCCCCTCAAACACTTACTCACCTGGCGTGAACTGTAGGGTTACTTCAGGGTAAGACACCACAGCTTTCAAAGGGGTTTCCCTTTTCAGTGTTCTTTTCTGGAATATTCTACAGTTAGATTCAGATTAAGTTGACAGCCCTTAGGAATGTCATTGAGTAGAACCAGTTAAAATGTTCAAAAAAGGATGGAATGCTGTTGGTAAAGATGACAAACTGTACTTTACTATAACTCTAAGCTAGCTAACCAAACATACAGCTATTCCGAGGGCCTGAATTGCAGGAGCAGCAGTCATCTTCCAGTTCTATTGATGTAGACAATGGAGACTTATCATGTCACCTGAATCGAAGCGATTTCACAGGAAAGGTGCAACTTTGCATAGTGTGAATAATCATGAATAGTAATTTCGCTTAAATTAGCCCTCGTCTGGAAGTGTGATAATATTTTTGACGTAGGCTGCGCCTCAAGACATAATCCATCCGAGAGAGAGAGAGAGAAAGAGAGAAAGAGAGAGAGAGAGAAAGAGAGCGAGAAAGAGAGAGAGAGAGAGAGAGAGAGAGAGAGAGAGAGAGAGAGAGAGAGAGAGAGAGTCTTAAGTCCATCTGGTTTTGAAACAAATGGATCTTTCCTAGTTTTCTGCAGCGGCTTGTGGAGATGAGACTATCCGTCATGTGCAGGCAGGAATCGACTGATGTGTCAGTTTACCATAGAGAAATTACACAGAGATGACAAAGACCAGGGGGAACTTCAATTACCACATAGCCAGCGCCTTACAGGCCGAGCTGTTTAAAACCAATTCTGAAATGGTCCTGAAAAGAGATTTGTCTCCTCAGATGAAGTGAAAGGATTTTGTACCCAGTCTTTACTGAGAGGCCTTTTTTTTAGGTTATTGGACAAAGCCTGAACAGCACAATTAGGTTTTGTCCTTCCCTGACATGTCGTTGAGACATTACAGTATTCTTGAAAGTTGTGTTTGTTTGTTTGGTCGCCTGTTTGATTCCTGGTGACGTTTTCTGTTACTATGTTTACACTGGTTTAATTAGCAGGAGGACCTCTCCTCCTTCCTCTCAGGCTGTCACACCGTGTGTTTGTGTGTGTGTGTTAACGTGAAAGTGTGTGTGTGTGTTAACGTGTGTGTGTGTTTGAATCTAGTTCAGATGTGACAGCTAGCAGGTTTTGTTTCATTCAGCTGCTAAAACAACCCCCTCCTGACCCCCCATCTCCTCTCCCCGTCCTCCCCTCTCCTCCCCCTCCATACTCTCCACTAATTAACAAAGGGAAATTAACCATCAAGTCCTTCTTGTTTTTCCTCCCTTCATGTGATGCCAAGCACCAGACATCACACACACAGGAACACACTTACACACATGGGCACACACACACACTCATGTAGATACACAGTACAGTACACACATGGACTCTATTCTCAACAACTCAGTATTTGCCTCAACACCCCCCTCCCTCTCTCTCCTCCTGTTTAGTGGACGGTAGCTGGTCGTGCTGGTCTGGCTGGTCTAAGTGTTCAGTGACGTGTGGAGGGGGACACTATATGAGGACGCGCACCTGCAACAACCCCCCACCAGCCTACGGAGGAGACATCTGTCTGGGACTACACACTGAAGAGGCTCTCTGTAACACACAATCATGTCCAGGTACACAAACACACACACATACACACACACACACACACGTAGGCATGCACAAACACACACGGACCATCCGTTTTCTCGTTGTCTCTTGGCATGTGTATTCAGCAGCCCAGGAATCTGATGTGGTTATGTTTTGTCTCCAGAGAGTTGGTCTAACTGGTCTGAATGGTCCCATGTGTATTCAGCAGCCCAGTAATCTGATGTGGTTATGTTTTGTCTCCAGAGAGTTGGTCTAATTGGTCTGAATGGTCCCAGTGTGACAGTGCTGGCGCCCAGCTGCGTGTCCGTCACTGTGACGTCCTGTTCCCTACTGGAAACCAGTGTTCAGGAAACCACACCGAGACCAGGGCCTGCCCACCTGACTCCAACTTTATACCAGGTAATACACACATACATACTGATAAACACACACACACATACAAACACACACACACATGCATTTATGCATGCACACACTCACACACATACACGCACACACACACATGCACAGCCCAGATAGTATTGATGTGTGTCCAGACAGGGATCTCCCTTATTGACAGGGTGTAATGTGAGACGCACCAGAACATTGATTTCTACTACACCACTGGATAATTAGACCTCTTCCTCTCTCTCTCAGAGTTCTGAGGCTCAATCAAACACACCCATTGATGTCTTCAACAATGATGTCTTCCACATAGTATCAATGGACACAATGCTACTCAAGCTACCAGAGCCAGATAGATTTTATACCGCAGAATACTTTGGACTAACTAACACTTAGCAACCCATAGGAAATAAAACATTATAACTTCTTCAATACTTCTCCAGTGATATGACAGTGGCCTATACTAGGTGATACGTGTGAGTACACTCTTAGAAAAAAAGGGTTCCAAAAGGGTTCTTCGGCTGTCCCCATAGGAGAACCCCTTTTGGTTCCAGGTAGAACCCTTTTTGGTTCCAGGTAGAACTATTTTGGGTTCCATGTAGAACCCTTTACACAGAGGGTTCTACATGGAACCCAAAATAGTTATATCTGGAACTCAAAAAGGACTCTACCTGGAACCAAAAGGATTCTACCTGCAACCAAAAAGGGTTATTCAAAGGGTTCTCCTATGGGGACAGCCGAAGAATCCATTTAATTTCTAGATAGCACCTTTTTTTCTAAGAGTGCACACTTTATCTTTCTGAAACACCAGTGTGTCTTTAGTTTCTTATCACTCATCTGTTTTAATGGGAATGCCACTCCATTAAGGGTCGTTAGTAGGGTTGTGTACTTAATTTTCCTTAATGAGGCCTGATACACTACTTATCATAAAACTCTTCAGGTGTCTAGTGATGGGCTTTATCATCCTCTGGTTCATTCTCAATATAATGCCCAAAGACTTCAACACTATCTATACCACTTTATCAGGGGAACAAGTGTGTTCTTCTGTTCAGCATCTCTTTTACTTTTCTCTTTAGCAGAAGTCTCCATTGCTCGTTCAAGTCAGGAGGAGAGAAGATGCGGAGGTATGAGTGTGTATGGGTTTAATGTAGTTTTTAATGTGGTGTGATAGTGTGATAATGTAGTGAGATAGTGTGATAATGTAGTGTGATAGTGTGATAATGTAGTGTGATAGTGTAATAATGTAGTGTGATAGTGTGATAATGTAGTGTGATAGTGTGATAATGTAGTGTGATAGTGTAATAATGTAGTGTGATAGTGTAATAATGTAGTGTGATAGTGTGATATTTAATGCAGTGTGTAGTGTGATATTTGTTGGTATTAATAAGGAATTCATCCACACTTATTAACGTGACATCAATCTTCGCGCAGTCAGCTCATTTTTACCCTTGAAAATTAACAACATTTTTATCTCTCTTTTTCCCTTCTCCAGATTTCAACCTGTTCCATATGATCGCTGTAGGCCTGAGTAGTTCTATCATGGGTTGTTTGGTCACCTTACTGGTGTACACCTACTGCCAGCGCTACCAGCAGCAGTCTCACGATGCTACGGTCATCCACCCCATCTCAGCAGCACCACTCAACACCTCCATCACCAACCACATCAACAAACTGGACAAATACGACTCGGTGGAAGCCATTAAGGTTTGTACACTATAACACTCTGTGGTCTTCTAGGATATTCCAGGCTCGCCTATACGCCTGGGCTGGTCTATAGTACTGTAGCCTTTATGTACTTGTGTGTATGTGGTCCTGCGTCTACTCTGTGTGACTGCACTGTTCTGTGTCTATAGCCATGTAGCTAGCCATACACTGCTTTCTCATAAGTTACTAACAACATACATCACAATATGCATACTGTAAGTGACTTATATGGAGTGAGTAGGTTCCAGGTCTTCATTCTAAAAGAGATGCTTAATATCAGTGGATCATCCTGGTTTAACTCAATAATAAATCAATAATTTTAGTTAGTTATATTTTCTCTGATGAGATTACTGTTGACACTTGACTTGGTTTTGGAAATACTTACTTGAGAATTATATGAAGGCAAGGGGTTAAGAAGTTGAGACACTATTTTATGTGAGTTAGCATATCGTGTGGACAGAGAGCTAGCTTTCAGAAGAGTATCCATCTCCTATAAATAACTGAACAGACACACCATCTAAAGTGAATTGCGTCTCTGGCGCAGAACTGGAATGCAGTTTCCATAGTAGAATAAAGATTTGAAAAGTGTCCATCTATCATGTAATTAGTGTCTGGTGTGTGAGAATAATCTAATTTGCAGCTACGGATAGAAGATAATATGAATATGGACAATGCTCGTTTGGCTAAGTGAGAAACTCAAAAAGAGCCATTTGAAAAATGAATCTAGTCTTTTTTCAAAAGCGTATTCTTCCTCAGTCTTTACTCTTGTTTTAATGGCTGGGTTGTACAGCTGAATATACATATTCTAAAAGTGAAAAGAGTGAAAAAAGAGTGATTCTGTAATTTCATTTTGTAATGTAGGAGAAAGATGAACACCTGGCACTATAATTCCTAAAACTTAGTTCTTTGTTTGATTAAAATCATATCTTTACCATCCAGGTGAGCTCGGAAAGATTATGCACTAGAGCGCCGTTGAGACAAAGGCAGTGAGTGTAGCTGAAAGAATGTCATTTTCATTGATTCAGTAGTGTGTCCTTTCTTATGGAGGGCATAGAATGACCATGTAGTCCCCTGCACCTACAGTAGCACAGACCACCTGTCTTCCTCAATGGGTACAGTAGAACTTAATCGTCCATTGTGGCTCCAGTGAGGATGACTGCTGCCCGTTCCTCTCCTCCCGCAGCCCGATGTGTCCGTACTCTTGCCCCTGGACGACCCCGGCATGCGCCAGCCTCTGTCTGCTAACATGGGCGTGTCCATGCGTGGCCTGGAGATTTTCTACTAACCTTCTACTGACCTCTGACCTCTACAACATCCCGCCTCTTGACCCTCCTCCTAGCCTATCAGCAACCTCCTTCCTCTTCCTCCCCACCGCGCCCCCACTTCCTGTGGTGCTTCTTTGTGCGGCAGGTCGGGGTAGACTCAGTTTCTCTCTCATTGCTCGGAAATCCCATTGTTTCATATTCATCCCATAGGGCAAGATGAAGGCAACTGCGGTCTTCGAGAGCCGTAATGTCTGCTGGTTTTCTCTTCTCTCTCTGGTGCTTTTAGGGATAGGTCATCCCTCTTCTATCACTCTTCACTTTGGTCAGGTTCTTAATTGATCCATTCATGTTGATCAATTGGTTGCTCAGTTGGTAGAGCATGGCGCTTGCAACGCCAGGGTTGTGGGTTCGTTTCCCACGGGGGGCCAGTATGAAAATGTATGCACTACTAACTGTAAGTCGCTCTGGATAAGAGCGTCTGGTAAAATGACTCAAATGTAAAATCTGAACAGAGAGTGCACTTGCCTGGTCTCCCAGGTCTAGATCAGAAGTAAATCATGAAAACCAGCAGACATTGTGGCTCCTGAGGACCAGAGTTGCCCCCCACCCTGCCATAGGACTACCCATAGGCTTGTGAGAAGGCAGTGTATTTTCCACTCATCTCTTTCCGTTCGAAAACGTCCACTATGTTCTGACTCTTCTCATTTGCATGTGTTTGTTTTTCCCTTTTCTGTCTTTCTCTGTCTTATTAGCTCTGTTTGGCTTTCTAATGATGGGTTACCATGGAGAAAAAAGGGAACTCGTAACTCATTCTGTTTTCTCCGTAGCTGTCCGCTTTCTCTTTATCTCTAATGCCACCCCACTGTTCAACAGATTTTGTTTACCCCACTAAAAACACTCCCTAATCACACTTTAGCCAATTAAACATTGTTAAGGAAGAAAGGCAGAGTAGATGAAGTCTGAGAACAGCTGGTTAATGGTTGAGTGCAGCCATGGGACCACTAGCAGAGATACAAGATATTACTGTTTCAGACAGATTTCGACTTTTGAGAATGTATATTTTGTTCCATTTTAGACATAGAAATGTACTGTTAGACTCAACCAATAATGTATTATTTGATCTTTAAGTAATGTTTGTCGCCTCTATGTGTGCAAGCCATGTAAATGTTATCGAGACAGAATAATATTATGTGTGTTTGTGCTCAGCGCTCGCAACCCTATCAGTTAATATACAGATCCATCAATCAAGAACAAACGCAGCATCATCAAGTGCTGAATTATGTCACCTCCAGGGGCTTTCAGAATGCACTTAGCTAAGACAAGAAGACAGAGGGGCGCACGCACATCCATTTTGCAAACTGCTGAGGTTGTACTGAGAGCAGTGTTCTTAACTCACATAAATGTGTGGTATCTTCATAGAACCACAGAGAAGGGTACAACAGAGATACGCTGTGGCCTTTCCTTATTTTCTGACTCGCTTAATCATTCACAGCCGTTCACATAGTTTTTTCTCCGATTAATACGTTTTTTTATTTAACGTGTCCTCAAGGATGTGGAGATGTGAAAGCCATGAAAGCTGCTGATGTCGAGACATTAGAGAGGAGATCAATGGACATATGGTTCCTCATCATAATACACCAGCTCAGTGGTTATCATTTTGTCAGCCTGTTGTTGTTAGTGCTTTGGCCTTGCTCATTGAAACGCTTTATTCATGCAGGGACCTCCTGTTGATTTCTATGTTGTCGTCCTATAAACGCTACCAAGGTTTATTTTTCTGTTTGACGTATTCCTTTTACCTTGCACTCTCCCATTTAGACAGAATCATTATTTGATCCTTACAATACAGTTGACACTGACACATCTCTCTCTTCCTCTCTCCATCTCCCCTCTCTCTCTCTCTCTCTTCCTATTCTCTCTCTGTCCTACACAGGCTTTCAATAAGAACAACCTGATTCTGGAGGAAAGAAATAAGTACTTCAACCCCCAGCTAGCCGGGAAGACATACACCAACGCATACTTCACGGACCTTAACACTTACGATGACTATTAACCCTTCGTTGGGCTACAGCACCGGGGATACACACCCTTGTGTAGACAACAACCCCACTCCACTCACTTTGACTATGTCCTATTTTTTTCCGCTTTGTGGTTTCTAATGTAATTTGTGACATTTTATGTGGGACCCTCCTACTCTGGGACCCATTGGTAGCTGCCATTCAATCAAATTACAGACAGTGATGTCAACAAAGGGACATGCCCACTTTACTTTCCTTCAGGTGCTCTGATGGGGTTCACTGGGAAAGTTCAACTTCGGAAAACAAAAAACAACAAGATCCTGACTTGACTCTCACAAACATGGAGACAACTGGAATTTCGATTTCCATGGAAGGAAGGGAAAAAAGGAAAAAAAAAAAAAAGGTTTTAAAGAGCTGTCTGAATGGGATGGATCTCTCTTTGATTTCCTGTGAACTATCTGATTCCTGAACTGTGTTGGTTCTGGGGGGAAGAAAACCACCTAACTGCTTTGCATGAATTCATCTGACAGTTTTCCATGGTTGGTCACATTCCACTTACTGGTCTGTAGTCCCATAACTGCTTCTTCTGGGGAGAGGCTATACGGACACGCCTGGTGCCCAAATTGATGACGTATGTCGCACAGCTGAGAGTCGAGTGAAGACGAACGGATTCAGTTCAGTCAGTTGTCCTGATGAGCCCTTCCCAGCTAGCTAGTTTGCTTTTGGCTAGAAACTTCAGCGTGAATTTGAAACTTGTCTGCCGAAGTTGGGATTTGGGAGAGTGTTCAGAATCATTCACTTTTATCATAATAATAAATAAATAAATAATGTAGATGTAATGCCGTAGCTGTAAATTTCCGGTGCTTTAGCTGTCACCCTGGCCTGATATTGGCTTCACTATCTAGCTACTTCCCTCTCCTAGCTGCGGAAAGCAGGAGTGAAGCACACTACCCCGTGTTGTTGTGTCGCCGGCTTGTAGCGCAAATTCTCCCTATTGAGCAGTATACTGTATCACGGTAACATCCAGATGGTTACTACCAATATTAGTAGGCTGCTATCCTACTCAAAATAAAATCAAGTGGGATGGTTAGGGTCATTTGCACCGGCTTGTCGTTACGTTAGCTAATTGGCATGTCACAGTGACATCCAGATGGTGACCAATAACCTACTACTACTTTCGCCCTCGCCCATCGAAATAAACATCACTTTCTTTTACAAGTTGTAACTAGCGCCATGCTGCTGTTGTTGCCAGCTAGCCAGCATAAACTAGCTAACGGGGAAGGGCTCATCAAGATGACAGACTGAATCGAAACCATTTGTCTCCACTGGACTCTCAGCCAGTGTTGCCAACTCCTCAGCAAGGAAAGTAGCTATTGGCTTTCCTAAAAGTCGCTAGAAGTCGCTAAATGACGTCATCACCTAATTTGCATAATTGGCCATATGCATGTAATTGTGATGGACGCTGTAGGAGAGAGGAATAACGTCGTGGGAGAGACAAAAAGTGAGTAAAAACACCCTAAATATGTTTAGAACTACAAATGACCTTTCTTCTGTCGATTCTTGTTTTTTTAAATGTTTTACATTTACATCCCGCCCTGAATGTAAGCCAGGGCGGGATCAGCCAGCGGCGGCTTCCCGCATGCGCGATTCATTTGCAGTCTGGACGCGGAGGGGTGAACATCTCCTGCTCTGACTGCAGCTGGGAGGGACTGCTGCGCGAGGACTGGGCTGCCTGTGAGTGCTTTGGGACAGGGGTGGGGCCCACGGCAGCACCCACTGCTCGTTGAGAAGAGTAAGAACGATACGTGCTTTCACATCAGAGTCTCCAAAAGTCTCCAATAACGGCAGAAAAAGTTGCTAGATTTGTCGCTAGTCGCTTTTTTGAATATGTGTCGCTAGAGGGGTCTGAATACTCGCTAAATATAGTGACAAAGTCGCTAAGTTGGCAACACTGCTCTCAGCTGCACGTCATATGTCATCAATTTGGGCACCAGATGTGTCTGTATAGCCACTCCCCTTCGTCTGCTGTGCTAGGGTCCTACAGAGTACCCCAAAGGGGTGGCCTTAGTGATGCCTGATGAATTTGACCCAACTACAATGCTCAATGGTAGATAGTCAAGTGCTTAGCGTACCCAGGGTAGGTGTCACTCAATATCTACACTATTTTAGACTTTTGTTAAACCGATCTAGTGCTTTTAACCATCTACCTGTGACAGCTATCGATCAGGATGTAGATATTTTTGAGATGTGACCATGTTTCTTTCTCTTACAGGGCTGGCGTCAGTTTAGCAGTTAGCAATGGTTGAGACATCTTTTTTGCTTTTTGTTGATGTTATTGTACAGTAAGTTCATTTGGAAGCATATATATATGTCTCTGTAGCTTTTATAGGTCCATTTACTCAATGTCAGTGTTAAAAAAATAAGAGGTAATGAATTCAAGCAAGTAAATTGGAAAGAATGGCCAGGAATATGTATCTAGGTCATGTTTAAACTGTCATCATTGGGCAGAGCGGGGGAAATTGTAACACTTTTAATATTTTACTCTATTGCTCAGAGACAACTTGAGCTAGGCCGGTCATTTTTATATGTAAGAAACGAACATCTGTCTCCTAATCATTCATACCATTTATATGTCTGTACATAAGATGGTCAGATCACAATATTGATTTTAATCAGAAAATGGCAAATGTAACAGTAGCTGGGGTCAAATGTAACACCTAAAAAATAACCCAAATAACATGTTTAGATATTAGCATATTCTCATAGACATACGTCATGATTTTGCAAGAAATATACATATTTTATGTAAGTAACCAATATTTACAGTAACACCCTGTGCATGGCCATTCAGTTCATCTCAAACATCTTGAATAGTCTGATGGTGCCCAGATGATATATTTTGACAACTTCTATGGCACTCTACACAGGACCCAATGCTAGTTAGTATTTGTATAATTATTTAAAAGGTTGAGTAAGTAAGAATTTTCTCCACAAATGTACCAACATTTCTATTATACCGTTTGTAAATATTTTATGATTAGTGAATGCCATAATGTAGTTATTTTGTTACAGTAGATGCTTCTCCCTATTAACTGCAATCTTATTTTTTCAAAGCCATTTTAGCTATCACCTAACTGTTTGGTCTGAAAAGATTCACAAATCATGAGAATTTGTCACACTATGAGCTATGCAGATGTTGGCTCCTTCCGAGGCACGTGTTGCTAACAAACCAGTGTGAGAAACATGGTAACAAACATTTGTGCTATGAAACAAAATAAATAATGCACTCAAAACAGATCTTTTTTTTTGTTGCTAGATTCAAGATAGTGTTGTTAGACAAAGCAAGGAAGGTGATCTTCAAAACGTAATATAGTTTAATTGGAATTTGCAGCTGTTGTTGGTAAGTAATGAATCTGCTAGCTTTGACGTGACTTACTGCATCCAAGTTAAAATCACCTGTTTTCATAATTTGTCTGCTTGGCTCAGGGTAATTTTAACATTACGTTACAATTACCCCCAACCCTAGCAGCCATGACAAACCTCATGTGCCTAGCAAAAGACACCAATAGTGACACATGTCAATCATGTCAATGTTTAGCCAACATATAGTAATTAAAATGATGCTGGTTTGAATTATTGGACATTAATGCTCAGGACAATATAAGAAAAATACAGCTGGTGGAAAAAAATACTTTCAACCCTAAACAAACATTTGCCTATAAAGCGTGCAAATAGTGAGCTATGTGGCTTTTCAAGCAGGGAGAGAACCTAAATGGACATGTACTGAGTGATTTTTAATAATTCTAGCTGATTTCTGTGTGGAGAAATTCAAGGTGTTACAATTGCCACCGCTCTCCCCTACTTTGTATAGTTTTTTTTATAATTTTGAAACTCATAATTTTGAAACTGTTTGTTCACATTTGTTGATATGGCTGTGTGGCTAAAGGAATTTGTTCTGCCTGGGGTTATAGTAACGGACATGGATATAGGCTTTACAGACATCCTTCTCCAGAACCTGAAGTGGTCCTTTTCAAGGTGAAATATCTCTGTTTTGTTTAAAGATGATGTACATCCATAACTGAGTGAAATATTCAGTATGTTGGTTTCTTCAATGTTTTCAATTGTAACTAACTCTTTTTAAAAATGTTTGCTTGTTTTATTGTGCATAAATTAAAAACCGCTTCGTATACTTCAGGGCTGTCAAAGTCTACACTAACTAACAGAAACACACACTAACATCAAAGAAAATTACTTACTGTTGGCAGAGCTACGTGAATCACTCAAGACCACGGTAACAGACTCTTTTAGCCTTTACAAGAGTCTGCTAACAAGTCCATAGTGATGAATGGCATCAGTAGCAATGGAAGGATACGTGAAGGATACAGATGCAGAGAGGGGGTGGTTAGGTCTAATGGATCTATATGACGTAGCGAAGCGCAGCAGTGTTATTCTCCATCAACCTTCAACCTGACGGGCCATCTGTGTGCAAAGGGTAATGGAGTGTGTGTGCGTGAGTGTGCGTGTGCGTGCAGGTGTGTGAATGTGTGAGTGTGTTATTCATCATCAGCGTCAGTGGGCCCATAAGGGTGAGAATGCTGATCCAGCCAGAATGAAGGGATTCTTGCCCGGGAGAATCAATCTCAGTTTACCTTGACTCCACTTTACCTCAGAGAGAGATGGAGCTGGGGACCTGGGGGCCCTACAGAACTCCGGCTGCTTTTTGGGTGTCTGGAGGATTGCTTTGTGTGTGTGTGTGAGTGTGTGTGTGTGTGTGTGTGTGTTTGTTTGAGTTGTATAGACATCCTGGCTTCTCATGAAACTGCAGAGCTACACACACTCAAATACACCGGTGGGCTGCTGAGTGCATGTTGTAATTAGCTATGGCTATTCGCCCCCTACATAAACCTTGATCAGTGTTATTACTCGATGTAGTAACATACACACACACATCTACAGGTACAAGAACACTGTTGGAGCTTTCCTCAGCAATTCCATTGCTCACAATAGCCTGCCTTCTCCCTTGGCTCTTGGACGG